CGTTGGGTAGCACCTGACTCCTGAAGATACATTCTGGGCTCCATTTCCATGTGCTGTGGAAATAGAGTCCCACCAGAAGTGCCCTTATGTCATGTGATGGCCTTTGTGGGACTCTGTTTTTGAAGCACATGGAAACAGAGCCCAGAATGTGTGAGATGAAGTCCTAAGACTCATTGTTTCACTGTGATAGTCCCCTCCCATAGCTTGTACAAAGCAGATTGTACAAAGAGAAGTAGACAAAAACTAATGAGGTCACCTGCTGAGTTGATGTGTGGAGGGTTCTGGCAGATCTTGGAAGATGATGTTCTTGGTCTGCATCAGGTCACAAAGACATAGTCAAGTGCATCTTTTAACCACCCATCCCAGTAAATTGAAGGGTTGGGGAAGGGGCTATCAAAGCATAATGGTGTGTCCTGGTAGTGGTAGTGGTAGTGGTGACTGGGAAAAGAGGACAACAGCAGAATCCCTGCTGAACTTATACACTGCATTGATCCATGTAGGATGTTGACCAATCCTCCCTTTGATTCCATGTATTTTGAATGTACACTAGATACCATGAAGCAGCCAACTCTGTTTCATATCTTCAATAGGTTTTCCAATGTATAAACAAATTGTATCAAAATTCAATCAAACATTCAAACATGAAATAAGAACCTACCCCTACAACAAACCCAGTGAGGGTTTGTCTTTGGTGAGAGTCTTAGAATTTTGTACTAGAGAGCTGTAATCCACTTCACTAGAGCTTTCCAGTTCCTAGAACCCATTGGTTCCCAGTGGTGAAGGATTCTGGAAGATGAGGCTCAAAACATTTTAGTGCAAGAGTAGACATTGGACAGCCTTCCAATTCTGTTGAGTGACCACTCTTGCCAGCCATAGCCAGAATGCTGAGTTGATTATTATTATTATTATTATTATTATCCGCTATTTTTACTAAAAAAAACAAAAAAGAGAGAGACTCAAAGCAGCTTTCAGTAAACCAATACAATACAATTGAAAACCTAAAATATATGAACATTAAAATAGAATTAAATATTAACAACAACAGTTGAAAGGCCACACAATTCTCATACTGGTCCATTGATGAGAAACATGGGCAAAACTGCATTGTTTTTTCTTGTTCAGCTCCCTGTCAGATTGACCCTGTGAGATACCAAGATAAAGCTACCCCAAGGCATTTGTTGGCACAAGAAGAGAAACAAACATTAACAAACAAAATCACATCTCAGATAACGCTGCTCATAGTCTTTGGCACAGAGCTAATATCAGCTTCACCTCAGGACACACTCCTCCAACCTCAGAGGTATTTGGGAGTTGTAGTTTGGTAGGGCAGCAGAAACATTTGACAGAGAAGACAAAAGATCTTGTAATACTACAACTCCTGTGATTCTATATCATTGAGCCATCACAATAAAAGTAGTGTTAAATTGCATTCATTCTACAGTGTAGATGCATCCTAAGAAGAGGCTTAGTTAGAGATTGGTAGATTCTGTGAGCTATAGTTCTAAAAAGTAAGCTCTGGGAATACATTTAATGTGTATCAGGGCTTGTTTTCTAAAGGCCAGTGCTCAAAAATGTAAATCCATAATGGCCCAGCACATGTGTAATGTTATTTTTCCTTCTCTCAGCAACCACTGCATGTGTTTATAGATCAATAATCACAAGAGAAGAGTTAAAAGGGCAGAGAAGTCTGTTTCTGGCCTCAACTGACCTCCATAGAAAAAAACCAGAAATTATCCAGAGAATAGGACAAAGTCAGGCCCTTAATACAAGACCGAGCACTTTACCACACTGATGTCATTGTCTCCAGCTTCTTAACTGAGACACACTGTATTATTCCAGCAAGCTTAAACCATGTTGTTTATCGTGTTCTGAAACACAAAAGGTCACAAGAGTCACTGCACAGCTGATGGTACAACTGATGGATGTAACCTTAAAGCCCCTGAAAACTCCAGTTAGTCCAGATCAGTAGCACTTATTAAAGAAACCAACACAAGATTTTCTTCTTTTCTCTCTTGCCTTGTGAAAACTCTTTGAAGCTTCAGACTTGCTGGCTGATGTGTTGATCTCTGTATCCTTCCTGTTACACACCCTGCCAAGAATCTTTGCAAGAGGCAACGATGTTTACTTTTTAAAAAAAGATTGTGCATTCCTCCTGTCACTCAGAGAGCTAATTATTGCCACCCTCTTCCTGGTACTGGGATTGCACAAGGCTCATCAAGGAATCCAATGAACGATTGTCCCCAATGATGATCTGTTCAGTGGTGTGTGCCTTTTCCCCTCCTGAACAGTGTAACACAATGGAAATCTGCCGGAGCACTGAAATCTGCTGGAGTTAATTGGCCTTCTTGCTCTGGTACACAAATGAAGTGACGCTAAGGCTTTCAAGTTTTATTATTATTGATAACAGATCGGAATAGAGCAAGAGTGGGAAACTGCATGGGAATCAGGGGACCACCTACCCCCTAAATCCCTCATGTGCCACTCCTACACCTATAATAAGCCCAAATACATGCATTTTCCTTAGCCCCCCACCCTCTAAAATGATGATGTTTCACTTCCACATGCTAAAAATTGAAGACTTCTGATTTTTTTTTTTTAGAGCAAATCCATTGATAGATCAAATCACAGATCTGCCCTGTGATAATGTTTCAGTCCACAGTGTACATGTGCAGGGCCTTTACACAGCTAAGAATAGTGCAGTATCCAGTGACCTAGAGACTGATACCCAGTGTGGAGTCTAATTCAGGTCTCTAGATTATGTATCACTGCCTAGGCATATCGCACTTGAAATCATGGATGGTCAACCTGGTGTTCAGAGTTTTCAGACTACAACTCTCACAATTCCTGACTATTGACTATGTGGAAGTTGTTGTTGAAAACATTGAGAGTATACCAGGTTGCCTCCTCCAATGTTTCCTACAAAACATCTGTTTGCTCCTGACCAAAAGGATAATACTGGCAAAAATGCAGATCCTTTCTTGGTCTTCATCTCAAACTATTTTTTCCAAGGAGACAATAAAGAGGGAAGTAAGAGAGGGAGGGTGGGACAAAGGCCACTAAAATGTTAGTTGTGCAGGTACGCTTTAGTGTGCAACAATGAGGTTGTGCTCTGTGCTTCATATGTGTTAATGTATGACCGGTCTCCTATTCACTGCAGCCATTTGCATGTTTTGAAAATCCTTCCTAAAGGTCAGTTCTCATAAGAGGAAGACCTGAGATGCAAGGCAGAGAGCTTAAAAGCATGTGTATGTATGGATGTTTGAAGAAGAATAAATCAGCTGGTGGAAGCTTATGTTTGCCAATCTCAAAATTGTTTGTATCTTATGAATGTTCATTCTGCTCTAATAGGTTCTTTTTAATGAGGATGTATAATGATGGCCAGTAACATTAGAAAAAATGGATTAATTCATGGCCTCAAAGAGGTGGTATTTTTAAAGCCAGAAACTTTGGTCTACGTTGAATACAATTTTAAGATACATTTGCATAGTTTAGAATTGTTATCTGGTTATTCTCTGACACTTTAAGGCCCCTTCCTCATAGCTGAATAAAATCCCATATTTTCTGCTTTGAACTGGAATATATGGCAGTTCAACCCAGATAACCCAGTTCAGAGCAGATATTGTGGGATTTCTGCCTTGATATTATGGGTTATATGGCTGTGTGGAAGGGCCCTAACAGTTACCTCCCCAAAACCCAAAACTAAAACCAAACAAAAAACAGCCTGTCAATGTACGGAAATACCTGGTGCTTTAATCACACAAATATCTTTTCCCCCAATCATATTATTAAATCTATTTCAGTTTTGCACTATTCTTTTGAGGTCCTAGTTCTGCTTGAAAACAGGCTATTTAGTTCAACTATTCGACTATTTTATACAAAGGGACACTCTTTTTCTTTCTCTCTTACACAAAAATCTATTGAGATTAATACAGACCCACACATACTCATGCATGCATGTACACGTGAGTGGCCTTTAGAAGAAACACATAACTGTTTCTCTATGTGTGAGAGCTTTTTCTGGGTTTGGGTCTGTTGAAGAGAGGAGAACTTCATTGAGGAAGCTACCTTTCTATTCTACCACATGTGCAATTTCAAACCAGCGTGCTTGTTACCTTGATTCTTCTTTTTGCCATTCATTTCTTCCTACAAGTACTTCCCTTACCATCTTTTGAAAGCTCTGTTGTGGTCCTTCATTTGCTTTAGATGTATCTACATTTAAATAAATGAACCTGTGTAGCAGTCGGAAGAAGGCTGTTTGGCCACTCCCCTGTGGGACATTGAGGCACCCTGTCCTTTGCAGATGCTCTCTGTAGCTCCATGTTCCTCTGGCGTATTGGTAACCCGTCTTGGGTGGAGTACCTTGCTTTGCTTGTGGGTGGGTCTTCTATTTCTCCCTCCCACTTTATCTGGCACAGTGGTTCACACTTTGCAAGGCTGAACTATTTGCACAAGCAACTCCTGCCTGCCTCCCCCTTTTGAAGGGCATCCAGGAAGCAGCAGCTCATGATTGAAGAAGGGCACGCCAGGAATCCCTGGCAGAGAAAGAGCAGAGGCTGGCAAGCAGGTTTCAGATGGTGTGCCATTGCACTTGCAAATGATGCTGAAGCGCTGATTGTGGGGTGCAGCTATTTGAGGAGGCAAAACATCTTGGGCCAGCCCTGACTCTTCAGGGAAGGCTATGGGATGAATTACAGAAATGCCTTTGGGGTGTTGTTTGTACTAATAATGCCCCCCTTTCTCTTCTCCTTATCCCTTCGTTCCCATCCATTGGATACTGAATGTGTGTCCCACATCCTCCCAACTGCTTGCTGATGAATCCTTCCCCCACCCGCCCACCTCACCTTGCATCGCCCTGCACACTCTTTTGCATGGCTACAAACTATGACCCTTCTTTTTGGTTTGTGCTGCATTTTGTTGTGTTGCTGCTGTTGCTGCCGCCACCATTGTTCTGGCTGTTCCCATTTCATGTGGCCGGTGACTCTTGTGTCGTTTCTCATTAGATAGTTATGCTTCAGCCTCCAGCAAAGAGTGGCGGGTAGGTGAGAAGGATTCCGTTTGTGCTTCTTGTTGCCATCACGGGTCCCTTCCACCTACCTCGTCTTCGCCCCTCTCCCCCAGTGACTGTATCAGCAGGTCCATGCCCTCTCAGCCTGACCCCTGCTTGATGGACGAGAGTTGGTTTGTTACCCCTCCCCCCTGTTTTACTGCAGAATGTTCCGATCCTGTCAGCATGGAGAGTAACCCCATGGAGGACCTCTTGATTGAGCATCCCAGCATGTCTGTCTATGTCACCAGCAGCACTATTGTTGTGGAAACCCAGACTCCTGAGGAGCACATCAATCATGATGGGTAAGTCCCTGGAAAGTAGTGTGATTTGTACTTTTGAGCTAGTGTTGTGTAGTGGTCTGAACATTGAACTAAAGGCCTTTCCACACAGCCCTATATTCCAGAATATCAAGGCGGAAAATCCCACATTATCTGAGTGTGGACTCAGGGCCCTTCCACACAGTCCTGTAACCCAGAATATCAAGAGAGAAAATCCCACAATATCTGCTTTGAACTCAGATAATGCGGAATTTTCTGCCTTGATATTCTGGGATATAGGGCTGTGTGGAATAGCCCTAGGACTCCAGGAGATTAGGGTTCGATCCTGAAAAAAAGGGTTAAGGGGGTAACATGATAGCCATGCTTAAATATTTGAAAAGATGTCATATTGAAGATGGAACAGGCTTGTTTTATAGTGCTCTGGAGACTAGGACACAGAGCAATAGTGGAAATGAGATTGTATTGTCGAAGGCTTTCATGACCGGAATCACTGGGTTGTTGTAGGTTGTTCAGGCTGTATGGCCATGTTCTAGAAGCATGTTAAGTCTGCATCCATGGCAGAGGTTGTAAGGTCAGAGGTTGTAAGGTCTCTTGGAAACTAGGTAAATTGGGTTTATATATCTGTGAAAAATCTAGGGTGGGAGAAAGAACTCTTGTCTGTTGGAGCTAGATGTGAATTATAACTGTAAATAAAGAACAACACTCAAACACAGGAGAACTCCAGACAATAAACAATCAGGGACAGCTAATCAACTCTCAACAAAGGATTATCCCAGGCAGTAACAAGCCACACCTAAAAACTGTTAGGCCATCAAATGCTAATTAAGGTAGCCAACTGAAACATTCACATCTTTCTTCCACCCTGGACTTTCCACATATATATAAACTCAATTTTCCTAGTTTCCAACAGACCTCACAACCTCTGAAGATGCCTACCATAGATGCAGGTGAAATGTCAGGAGAGAATGCTTCTAGAACATGGCCGTACAGCCTGAAAAACCTACAACAACTTGGAAATGAGATTCTATCTAAACATTAGGAAGAACTTCCTAATAGTAAGAACCGTTCAACAGTGGGAAGTACTACCTTGGAGAGTGGTTGAGTCTCCCCCTTCAGAGGTTTTAAAAATAGAGGCCGGGTGACCATCTCTCAGGGTGATTTGATTATGTATTCCTGCATGGCAGGAATTTGGCTTTGCTAGCCTACTAACTGGTAAATTAGTTACATTTCTATCAATTTCTTTACAACAGCCTGGCCCAAGGTCACCTAGAGAATTTCATGTCTGGGTGCGGACTTGAATATGGATTTCCCAATTCCAGTACTCTAGCCACTACACAACCTAACACGGTTGTACTTAGTTTGTCTACTGATTTGAATTGTATGATGGAGAAAAGGGAAGCATTTTCTTGGCCTTTCCTGTCCTTGGTCCTACCATTTCCCATGTACTGGAAAGTTAACTGTGGTAGTGTTGAACTCTTTTAGGACTGTGCCTACACTGTACATGTTACTCTGGTGTAAATCTGCCCATGAGCAGCCCCAGATTCAGCATGTAAGACCACGTCAGCCCTGCTGGGCTGCCACCTCATCCACTGTATAGCCACTGCCACTCTCCATTGACCACAAAGCTCACTGTGAGTGCCTGTCTGTCACCTGTCACATCTGCTTGTGTCACAGTGGGCACCTGTGTGATCAATCCTCTACTTGTTCGTTGCATAGGTGCCCCATTCTGATATCAGCAGACGAGGCCAGGTGATGGCCAGGTACTCAGATGTAGTTCTGTGATGATGGTACAAGTGTCTATCTGGACATGGCATCAGTCTGATCCAGACTGAATCCAGCTGCACAGATGGCTGCAAAGCCTTGGGATACTCTGGAGTTTCCAGCAACTCTGGAATATCCCCAACTTTGTATTATGTGGAGCAAAGTTGAGTTAAACCCAGCAAACCTGGGATAGTCACCTGAAGTCACTACACGCCATGGAGATCTGATAGTGGTGAATTTGTGGTGTCTAGGGTTTTGATTTAAATTTTATTTAAAGTAGAAAATAAAATTTCTCAGGAAATTGTGAGAATCAAAGTCCCCCATAGCATTTTCCACCCAAGCTCTGAACTGCCATATTGAAAGACATAAAAATCATCCTAAATATGCTGTATATTTTTATGCTTTGCTTTTATGCAGGGAAGAACCTGAACGGCGTTTGCAACGCCATGCCCCGCACCACTCCACCTCTCTTGCCACCAAGGCTGCCATCTTGGAGAAGGTCAACCAAGTGCATCGGATTCAAAGGGCAAAGCATCTGGCAGAGAAGCACAACTTCAGTCAGAAAGTCATGCAGAGGCAGAACCGCACCCGAGAGTGCCGCCCACGACGGGCCAAACACCAAGGCAGCTTTGTCTACCAACCAAGCCAGCGCCAATACAACTACTAAGCTACTTCAAGAAGTCTACACTGTGGGGCATTATCCGTTTAACTTTCAGCTTCACCAGTTCCTCACAATGCTTTCTTCAGCCAAGATGGTCCTCTTTGTCCATTTTTGAAATAAATCCATCCCTTCTCCCAGGAGAGAACCTCCTACTTTGTACTAAGCTGGCAATATTCAATGGTAGTTCTTTTGTGGGCTTTTCTTGGGCTTCACCCCTATCTTCAGCCACAAATTATTTTCTTACCTATGACTTTCTTTCCTCTTTGGGTTTCATCTCCCCCTCTGCTGTCTCTTCTTCTACAGATGTTGTCCTTGATTTGAATCTGAAGGTGAAAGAAACCTAACCCGTCCCACTAACATTAAGTAGCAAAGCTGTAGGTCTACTTTGAACCTCGAATATATGTTTTTGCTGTTCTTTTTGGAGAAACATGTTTGCATCTTGGGTACCAAGCAAGACCATTTATTTTCATGTGGTGTTTTCCTTGGTTCCTAGATAGCATGTATTTATACACTGGCTATAGTAGCAGTTTCCAGTGTTAAGAGTAATTTGGTGCTTCCAGTGACTATATCACATTTTGTTTTCTAAATAAGAGTTATAGGAGGGACGAGGTGCACTGTCATTTCCTTTGTCCTTCACTGTTGCACTAGAGGGCCTGTGACATCAGTGCCTTTCATTATGACATCACACTCTTCACAGTGGAAACGGACTGTGATGTCACAAGTTGATATGCCAGGTTCATGTGCAAACTGGAACACAAAACAATAAATAGGTCCAAAATACAATGATGAACATAACCTGTATCTTGTATCTTCTTTCCCTTAAAATAAAATGGATTGTATATTTATTCCTATTATGCAGAGTTGATAATGGGGGCTAGTCCTGAGATATCCTGCCACATTCTTAATTGTACAAAAGCTCCATGAAAGTTTTGACATTGACTTCAAATGTAGGATGGATTATTCCTGATGTTTCTGTTCAGCAATAAGATGCAGTGCAGAATCTTTCAAAGTCCATTCCGGGCAGCCAAGCAATTTTCAGTTAGCAGCAGAGGTTTAACTTGGAAGCTCCGGGATTCACTGAAAAATCAGTCATGCACATTGCTTTTCAAAACAATTTCAAAAGTTGCATTTAGAGCTGTCACATATTTCCACCTCATATCATTCACATCTTCATAGTATTATGATAGTGTCATGATCAAATAAAATGGAAAGCTCTGGTACTTTTTAAAAATAAAACAAGGCTAAAGATATTTCAAGGAACATTCACAAATAGAATTAAATTATATGCATTAAGTCCTCCAGCCCCTGTATATTTTGCCCTGAATCTAAACATGGAAATGTCCTACAATAAAAAGTACTGTTTTTCATCCCAAGAGCCTTTTTTTTTACTCTAGTATATGAAAAATGAATGATTACAAAATTGTGTGAAAAAACATAACTCAAGCTTGACATGAAGTTTTTGCATGAACAGATCTGTCAGTGCTGAACTTCAGAGTTTTAGTGGGGTTTTTTTTAACCAATGTGAAATAAAATTGTTACCTTTAGTTCTGAGGAATTTCATGGAGATGAGTGCCAAGGGCACAATCTGGACAGTCCAATGCTTTCACTAGGAAATAAGTTTTCACCTCTTGATTTTAGAGGGACTGGACCATACCCTAATATGAGATTTAGTGATAAAACATAGTTTACCAATCCCTATTATTTACCATTAACAGAATGCTTCATATTCATTTATGGTTTTTTTTAAGCCTTTCTCCTCAAGCTACTGCCCTCAATAAAGAAAAGGACATACACATTTTTGAGATGATAAAGTATGTTGGAAAGCATAGGGTTTTTTTCCGTGTCAGGAGCGACTTGAGAAACTACAAGTCACTTCTGGTGTGAGAGAATTGGCCGTCTCCAAGGATGTTGGCCAAGGGACGCCCAGATGTTTTACCATCCTGTGGGAGGCTTCTTTCATGTCCTCTCATAAAAACCTGGAGCTGACAGGCAGGAACTCACCTCATTCCTTGGATTTGAACCATTAACCTTTTGGTCAGTAGTCCTGCCAGCAAAAGGGTTAAACCCATTGCGCCACTGGGGGCTCCTTGGAAAACATAGTGAAGGATGCTAAATTGACGTGAAAGAAGCTAGGATGATGAAGCAAAAAGTAGAAGACAGTCAAAGTAAAACTACAGTCTTATCTATAAGCATTGGAGTTGCCTTCAGGCACTGATGGGCTACCCATTCCATAATTCTTCACCAGCCTGACTGATGATGATTAGGGATGATTAAGAATTTGGACAGCGTGGAAGAAAGCATACTAGAAATAAAATGCCATTGAAGCCACTTGAGGCACAAGTCAGGCTTGGATATCAGAAAAGGAATTTGGAAGCTGCTGAACAGGTGTGAGCAAAAGACTTGAGGATCTGGACTTCACTGTGTAAAAGGAATCATTTAGAAAAGATTGCATTAAGAATTTTTTGCAGAAAGATTTTTACATGGTGTACACATAAGCAGGCACTCAAGTTAGTTGCAATGTCTTAAGTCAGACTTGACATTTAAATTGCTTCACATTCCCATTTGTGATTGTAGTACTATTTTCAAGGCTGCAAATATCTCTGGAATCTACCTTAAAAGCCAGACAGAACTCTGAAGTGATGGAGATCTTACTATCAAGAGGTTCACTGCTGGAGGGTGTTACCAGCCCCTTCCCACCAGCTAATGATGCTGCAACACTTCATCAGAGCATTGTGTGGTGGTGAAAGGGAGCTAGCCATGTCACCTTGCCGCACCCTTTACTCTAGCAGCAAAGGTCATCATTGGCTGAAATGACTGTCTGGCATTTAAGATGGGTTCCAGGAGTCAGATGGGGAGTTACAGCATAGCTACTACATTGTAGTTATGTGTTTGATACACTGCCTCAGTCAAACTCTAGAATATAAGACAGAGAACACATTGCATAATCTAAAGCTACACTAAAGTGATTTCCCTTAAATTTTGCTGGACAAGGGTTAATAATTGAAAACAAGTACACATACAAAATACCAGTAAGACCACCAAAGGACAAGGTAACTGTATCCCTTTCCTACTTTTTATTTATTAATTATGCATTCATTCTCCAGTCAGGGTCATCAAACACATTTCATCCTGTTCATAATCTTCCATGACATTGTTTCTTAAGTATTTGCCCAATATGAATGAGGGATCGTCTCTCTGGAATCTTTTTCATGACATACTGTTAAGTCTGCATATTGAACTTGTTTGGTTATTGCCAAGGGGGGAAACTACTTCCCTCATATAACAACCAAAATACCCACCGGACTCACCTTTCAAGACATCTTGGGGGGATTATGTCATCATTGTGTCCCTGTTTATAGACAAATAGACGACACTCTGACACCCATCATTCTCCACTGGTGACAATATGGCTGTGGATAGGTGCAGGAGAGTAGAGTTCATGATGAAATGAAACTAACTGCTCACCTAGAAGTCATGCTTTCCCTGAAATTGCTAGTTCTGGAGCATTAATAAAAATACACCAGTGCCAGGATTTTGAATGACAAACCTTTAAGTTGTATCACAAATGGTTTTTGAAAACCTGGCTCATTTTCAGAAATGGTTTACCAAATATCTTTTTGAGGAGCAGAATTGCTATTCAATAAGTGAAAGGCTAATGATACTATCCAACAAATTCAAACCTTCTTTGTGTATAGGAATTAGATTCCACTTCTTAGCATAATAACTTTCAGTTCTTAAGGCACAACAGAACTTTTCCATCTGATCTAGAAATGGACCTCCACTGTTACTTATTTACAGGACAGAACAGTATAATCCACAGAAATCCCAAGAGGTTCAGCTTTGCCAACAATGGAGACGCAGGACAGTTGTGACTCTTGATTGCTAAGATACTGCTATGAAAAGAGACAGTATTTTTTAAACACAGCTCTTCAAAATACATACATCTCCATGTTTGGATAGCGCAAGCTGTGTGTTTAAATCTAACTGTTGGAAAACAGGGTAAATAGAAAACTAATTCCCCTTCATCAAATGACTTTCTTGGTATCTTTCCCTCTTCTTTTGCCATTCCCACACCCTTGGTTGCACTGCCTTTCCCTGTATCTTTGGAAACCTATTTCCAAGGAAATGATTTTGTTTATTGAAGAGATAAGTAATGCTATTGCCTGATTCTTACCCTGGCATCACAAACAAACAAAAACAAACAAAACCCGCATATGGGGCTAGCTCTTGTGCCTTCAAAGGATGCTGAAGAATAATGAGTTACTGGTGTAGAGAGCACTTGGCAACACAGCTTAACAGAAACCTTAAAATTTATTTGCTGGCATCTGCTTTGTACCACCTCCAAGTTAACTTCATTAACTGCAGCAAAGAATGGTGTGCCAGAATCTGGCATTATTCTCACGAACAATACTAGAAAAAAATGAGGCCGTTGTGTTTCTTATTAAAAGGTTTCCCCATTTTTTCCCCAAAGCCATATGGCTGACCTAAAATATGGGTGTGGTAGTAGGGGGCCAGGGAAGTGTAATTGGCAAAAATGATCATGGTTCCAGGCAAAATTGATGTGTTCAGGCAATCTTTTTTTTCTTCATTTTTGCTCACTGGGAAAGAGAGACTGAGTCGGCAGTACGAAGTAGAGTCAATTGTTCCAGCTTGGAGATAGTCACAGAATGTGTTAGCTTCACTTGAATCTGATTAAAAGAGAAAACGTAACACTTTCTTTAATTCTGTGAAGTGTTTACATCCTTTCGCCTCTTTGCTTTCTCATTAAATGCCTCTTGCTGCAGCAGCCCTGGGGATGAGGAGGGGAGAGAGATCTAGGAGACTTTTATTTAAGGAGAAAGGTCTCCTAGACAGAATTTTGAACGATTTCATATGGATCACACCATTTTTGCCTGAAGGGATCCTACCGTCTTATGACACTGAAAACTGAATTTTGAATATGGTATTTGAATATATAACATTCTGAGTTAGCGTTTTCCATATTCAAAAACGAATGAAAGGATAACCAGTAAAAATTCAAAAAGACCCATTTCTACATATTAACTAGATTAGGTTATTACTTTTCTATTGTCTCTGAAGTCAAAGCCAGTTGAACCCCTGTCACAAAAGCATTTGAATGCATTAACCCTTAAACAAATTTTAAAAAATTTAAATTTGCAAAACAGAAGAAAATTGTGTTGATTTCAATGTGTGCTGAGAAAAATCATAACATTAGGCACTTCTTAGTTGGATAGCCCTCCCATGAAAACTGAGAAAATTGTGATGTAGCTCCACTCTTAACCTTCAAGTGCCACAGAAATGAGCATTGGTCTTTGACTGCAACATACGTACTGAAATCATGGGAACTGAGGTCCTGGAAACATAGTGGAGTCCTCTCATAAACCCTGTCAGAACATATAGGAGAAATTTGGAGGAAGGTGCCTACAGGGTCACTGTATCACATGAGTGCCTACATATTTGAACTGGTTCTTTTGATTTGGCACCTTAACACTAAATGATTATTATTTTGAACCTCAGCATTGATCCTTTAAAAAACAAATAGAGCTGTACTTCCCAGAAACAAATTGTCATTTTCCTCTTTGTCTGATGTGCTAATTTACTGACATATATATAACATCTAACAACCAGACCCACATCATTATCATATTCCAAAGTGATTTTAAAAAATGCATGGATATGTTTTAACATGTATAAAAGAACAGTATTAGATCTCCATCATGTGCCTCTAGTGCTCAGGGAAAGCAACTGGGCATCACATCCTGTCATTTAGTTTCTAAGGGATCTGATTTGCCTACTGTTGGGAGAGAGATTGCTGTATTATTGCAACTTTGGCCAACCTGGTACCAAAGGAGTTGGACTACAATTCCCATTACTGTGAATAAATAGGAAAATGGGTGGGAGATTTAGTCCAAGATATCTTAAAACTACCAAGTTGAGGAGAGCTGTAAGACAGGAACCACTGATTTGGTTCTGCAAGACAGTTCATAGGCTTTTAGATCACTGTTCTTGTTTCAATCTTTCAGAATCTGCTGCATTAATAACAAAAATCTACATATATGTGTCAATAAAATATGGATCTATGTTTTTCTCCTTCTCCATCATATGGACCAGAGGTTGGAATTGTGTAGCTCTCCAGATGCTGAACTGCAACTCTCAGCTTTCCTCATCTGGGGGGCCACACCATTCATACTGGTGATTTAGACCTTTTGCAAATGTTTTAATTTTAAGAGACAAAGTTCTCTGAGTACAAATAAGCCCCAAATTCTTAATTTCTTGGAACAGTGTGCACAAGTCCTGAGAAAAAAAGAATCAGCATGAATGGGAACAGCTGAATTCAGAAATAGCAATCTAAGCTAATGTTTTCCAG